GCTTATCTCAGTGTTGTCAAGGTATTGCAAGAGTTGCCAACCCCACTGGGCCCAGAGGTGACTGTTTGCAGCTGCCCCCTTTTCTGTCTGCTCTTGAGATCAACCAAAAAAAGAAAAATTAAAAGAGGATGGGGAGGGGAACTGCAAAGAGCCTGATTTTTAGAAAAGCTCAGCAGGGGATTGCAAATACTCGAGACAAATATTCATTGCATACCACAGAATGATGCCTTGCCCAAGGCCCTACCTGGAGTCTCCTCCTCCTCTCTCCACCTCCCAACTGATTCATCAACCTTGCCGTGACGTTAAACCGGCAAAAAAAAAAAAGAAAAGAAACAAGCTCTTGTACAATTTGAAATTTCGTTAACAATTGCTTCTTCTGCAGAGAGGAAAAACGAAACCAAAACCGAAAAAAAAAAATAAAAGGGAAAAAATTAAAAAAAAAAAAAATAAAAAAGAAGAAAAGTCCAACTCACCAAGCTGGTGAACACAAAGGGGACGGGATGCTGGACGCTCCCAGGCGCGCACTCACACCCGCGCACTCACACCCCACAGACCTCGGGGGCTTTTACACACATTTTTTAAGTCTGGCTTAAGCTGATTTGAGGATTTCCTCCGTCCCACCCCGCTACCACCCCCCCCCCCACCCTCCCAAAATATATATATAAAAAACCCCCTCGCCCCCAATATACAAAGCATTATGCACAAGGGTGGGTTGCAGTCACACTGAGCATGCTGGGCCGGCTGCAGGGGCAGGAAGGCTGGAGTCGGGGCCAACAGTGGTTGATACAGGGCCAGCACGTGGCAGGACTTGACTAGACTTAGAAATCTGAGTCGTGGTTTGATTTCAGTAGAAAGAGTTCAATGAAAAGACATTCAAATGCCAGTCAACTACTGAAGTGGGGAGTCTGAAACTTGATTTTTGGGGAGGCCTCGAGAGGACACTGGCGGCTCCCGGAGCTCTGATGCTCCTCAGAGCACTTAAGAGACAAAAAGTCACCTTGGACAGCAAGAACAGAACAATTAGTGTTGCCTCCTATTTGATCAGAACTTATATTTGAACCTCCCAAAACTGTAGGAAAATACTCGAAAGCTCAGGGAACAATTTTTTCTATTTGATCATATACATACAGAATATATAATTTCCACATATAGGTGTGACCCCCCCCCAAACTAACATCTCCTATATGCCAGCAACTACCTCGTGACAGTGTCCCTTTAAATATCCATCTGCTTCATTTTCACATCCTGCCTCCCCCCAACAGATGAACGTCCACTTCTCAACCAAATATTAAACTCACGGAGATCAGTTTGTAAGATTTGAAGAACCATGTGTTCAACAATATGATCTGTTATAAAAATAAACACTTCACAGACAAATTACATAAAGCAAAGCACCAGTTTCTACAGCTCAAAAGCTTCCAGCATGTTACAGTTTTGCTTCCCTCCCTCCTCAAACCTGGGTGCCTCAGTGTCTATTGTACCTTTGTGACCATCACCAGTGGAGGGAAAAAAAAAAAGAAAAAAAGGAGAAAAAAAAAAAAGGAAAAAAAGGAAAAAACCAGGAATTCCAGCACGTCTTCTGCCACTATCCCTGGTTGTCCATCACCTCCTGTGCTGGCACAGGAGCTGAGCAGGCTCAGAACCATTACCTGGCACTGGTGAGTCACCCAAGGTGTGCTGCTGCTTCTCTCCCCTCACACTCTTCTGCTTTGATGAAGTTAAAACCAAATTAAAAGCTTCTCAGCTGCCCCGTTTTTGACAGGCTCTCCCCCACAGTCCACTCAGAAACCCGTTCAGCTCAGCATGGTTGGCATTCCCATGCTGATCAGAAACTGAAGTAAATCACCTTTAATATAAAATTCCAACCCAAACTGCCAATTATGACTGATCAAACCTTGTTCAAGGCAGGACTATTGGCATAAACTGCAAAACTCAGCGTGGTGGTGTGGATTTAGAATCTCCAAAAGAATATATAATACAAGTTATAAACTACTATTTTTTTAATGGTAAGATCAGGGCAGAACTCGAGACTAACTAAAACTTTGGAATAAATTCATTTACCTCTCTGCAGAGGTTCCAAAACTACAGCAATGGAACAAGATTTTCAAAGCCTCCTGTGAACCAAACTCTCTGCTCCACGAAGAACCATTCATGCTCCCAAAGAAAGGCATTTGCACAGCTTTCCTCCAAGAAATCAGAATGCTTAACACAAATTAATGAAGAAAGGACACCGAAAAACGTGAAGCTGCTGCTGCTGTTACTGAAAAATGGGGTTTGCTAAAAATAATTAAATGTAATAAAAATATGAATGTAAACTGCTGCACTGCTAACAGAGCAGCCAAGAGACCATCAGGGCTTAGTGTTTGCATAAATCAGCAAGACAGGAAGATTTAGAAAAAGTTCCCAAATCCCCAAAGCACGGGATTTACAGAGTGTTTGGGAAGGGACAAACTCAGAAAATAACGTGGGAGGAAAACAAAAAAAAAGAACAGTTCTGTGAGATAAAGGGTCAAACTTGCCAGGCATAAAACAATCCAGTCCCAAAACCTGAGCTGAGAACAACGGAAACAGATTTTTTTCACAGCCTTGACTTTTCTTAACCGTGTTGGGGGAAAAAAAAAAAGGACCCCAAAAATATGTATTTTAAGTGGAACTTACAAAATATACTCTTCAGAAAAGATCTGGTCCAGCAGGTGAAGAACCAGCTGTTTGACCAGATGAACTGGAATAATCCTTGCACATTTTAATACCAAAAAAAACCCCCTTTGAAACACAGTCTGGATTGAAGGGGAACAACTCTGTGAACCAAACACTTGCAAGAGTGTTTGCTACCCCCCAAAATGGTTTTTAAAATATGGCCATTTCTTTTCCCATATTCCCCAAGAAGCACAGGACTAGGAGCAGAGGGAATGCAAGAGAGACTCTGCTCTCCCAGAAATCAGGGAAGAGGTGTGGGAGAGGAGATTTTTACATTCACTTCTGTTTCAAGATTGGTACTTCACTCCAGCCTTAAGCTGCTCTGGAAATTGGAACCACTTCAAAAATGAAAGATTTACAATCGAAACAACGATCATCTTTATTGGAACGGCAACAGTAGTTTCATGAGAGTAAAGAACGTTAAGAGAACTTGAAATTTTTATAAGCCAAGGTAAAGTAATTTACCAGCCTCAATAAAAACCAGGGCTATGAACCACACAAGACAAATCACTCGGCTGCTGCATTAATATTCCATTCCCCATCTGAGGCTCCACACTGTGCTCAGCATCCTCAGGCTCCCTATGGATTCAGCCAAGTGTCCTTCCTGATCATATTAGTGTATCACATCTAAGAGCTCTCTAAAATCCAAACAGGATTACGAATCTGGTAGCATGTGCTACCAGAAATCCAACTAATTAGCTGCCTTATGTTACCTTCAAGAGGCTGGTTACAAAATGTGTAGTTCTGTGACCAAAAAAAAAAAACAAACAACAACAAACAAACAAAAAAATAGGATGCAAAAGCTTGTCAGCTGGAAGATAACTGTGAGCAACCAACAGAAGCACAAAGGGTTTAAAGGAAACAAAAAAAAAAGAGAGAAAAATGGCAGGTCCAGTTTTCAATATTTCCACCAACAAACATGGCAGCAACCTCTGTTATCAGGGTTTGAAACCCAAGGCTTGTGTAGTTTAATGGAGGTTTAAAAACGAACATAAAACGACGACAAAAAAAGGACGTGGCTGCTTTGATAAAAGCACGTTAAAATGCCACCACACACATCTCGAGTGTCTCGCTCTGAGGGACATCCTGCTTGCCACCTAAAACAGTCCTGCTTCCAACACTCCACTTCCAACACTCCCTCCCAGCTCCAGCCTTGGCCACCTTCCCTACCCAGCGCTTCCCAGGCTCGGGGAGCTGGACCAGCAGTGTGGCCGTGGGAGCAAAGGATGAAGGGATGGAAGGATGAGGGCACGGAGGTGGGATGGGGGGCATGGTCACTGCCTGCTGTCCCCCACTGAGGGATGGAAGGATGAAGCATGGGGGGGATGCTCCATGGCTGCCTGCTGTCCCCCACTGAGGGATGGAAGGATGAAGGATGTGGAGGTGGGATGGGGAGAGGGGATGGAAGGATGAGGGATGGAGGTGGGAGGTGGGATGATGGAGAGGGTGTGGGATGGAAGGATGAGGGTGTGGAGGTGGGATGGAAGGATGAGGGTGTGGAGGTGGGATGGAAGGATGAGGGTGTGGAGGTGGGATGGAAGGATGAGGGTGTGGAGGTGGGATGGATGGATGAGGGTGTGGAGGTGGGATGGATGGATGAGGGTGTGGAGGTGGGATGGATGGGGAGGGAGGGGGTGTTCACTGCCTGCTGTCCCACGCTGCAGCTGGAGAGGGCTGAGGGATCACTGGAGCTTTTCTGAGGACAGATGGAGGGAGAGAAGAGAAACACTAAAGCCTGACTCATGGGATCCGAGACTGACCAGAGCACTGCAGAATCCTTTGCTTCACATTTACACACAGACATCCCTCGCCCCAAAACCTAAAGAATTTTAAGTTTTTTACACTATCCGTTAATTTATTTTTTTTTCTCCTTGGAAAAAAACTCTAAAGACATATTTTCCACAATAACCAAATGGAAACTGGTTTTAAAAGTTGTTTGCAATTTCTCTTCCTTGTTCTGCCCATCTACAGCCAACCCTGAAGAAATCAAGTGGAGTTAATGGATGTGGGAAGCTTGTAAGTTGTACATCTGGGTTTGTAGAGAATGGGCTGCAATTTGCCTACAGCAGAAGAGGTTTTTTTTTATCCAGCAAAGACAAAAAAAAAAAAAATCTCCCATCCTAATTGGAGGGTCTTTTCTAAATCAAAGACACTGGACCATCTCTGGGTCTCTTGATTGCTTTCCATGAAAAACGTGCCTGAATCCAAGAAACACAGGTTTCCTCCCTGTGTCTCCTTTTCCTCCACTGGAATTATATCAACTACATTTTTTCTGAGAGTGAACTTGTCTCAACAAAAGTCTGTTAAAGCATAGGTTCTTTTTTTTTTTTTTCTCTCCATATATTCAAATACAGAATAATAGTTTTAAACAACTCTTACCAGCATTGGGAAAAAAAATCTATTCTACTTAAGGATTTTTTAAGTATGGTTTCCACATATCAGTCCTCAAACCTTATTGCTTCACAACTGCAATATCCCTTGAAAAAAAAAATATATTTAATGGTCTGTTAATTTGTCTCAAATGGCTTTCAGATTTGGTGGGGGAGGGAGAACGGAATGGCCAACAGAGAACATTGACTTCAAAATATTACTGTATAAGGGTTTCCTCTTATTAAAAAAGGATACACTGTATTAAACAGCTGAAAGTAAAGACAGCATTCAAAGCCCATGAGTCAAGCCACAGCCAAAACCGTGTTCTACCCCTAAGTATGTTTTTCTTTTCCTTTTTCTTTTTTTTTTTCTCTTTTTTTTTTTAACCAAAGATTTCCTCAACTGCCATTTTTTAATCTTCACCAGAGGGTGCTTCGTCTTCAGATCCCTCATCCCCTGACTTCTCTGGTGGAGGGCTGGCTGATTTTTTCTTTTCTGGGGGGCTTTCAGGCTCTTCATCCTCTTCTTTGGGGGATGGGGTCTTTTCTTTCGTTGCCTTGGAGGCTGTGGGACGACCTCCCTTCCCTTTGCCTTTCACTGGACTGGGGGTCACTGAAACAAGAGAAAGCTTGTAAAACTTAGCAGCAGCAAAGGCAAAAAAAACCCCCAAAAGTCACATGGTGTTACACAAATAGGATTTACAAGTCCCTTCAGCAGCAGTTTTTATTTTGCTTTGACCCCACGGATTGTTTTTTTGCACCCCCTATTAGCTGAAAATTAGCTAACGAGGTTTAAAAGCTATTTCATTGCAGGTCCTGACTAATTACTGGATGTGACATCATGAATGAACACAGCCCTTGTCAAACCAGAACATACATCACTATTAAACTTCAAACTTCCTGCAGAAATGCAGCCACTTCTCCTTTGGTTCAGATTTCCCCACCTTCCTCCAGCCTGAAAACACCACAGAGTCCCAAACAAAGCCACAAATTGTATTATTTGGCTACAAGACAGAAAAAGTCAGAATGCAGCACCTCAACAGGGAAGGGTTTGAATACTATGTAGTTTTTACCAACAAGATAAATTCAATCCCTAAAGTAAGAATTAAAGCCACCTTATTATTTTATATTTATGCTTTAAATCATGGCATTTTAGCCCTTCAACATTTATGTGGATATCTACTGACTCACCTGTAGCCTTTAGCCTGGGCTTGGGCATTTTCTTTTCTTTCCTCTCTGGCTTGGATTTCTTGGAGACCTTCTTATTCTTCTTTTTTGAACTGCCATAATCACTGTCATCATCATCTTCCATGAGGAAGTCTTCATCACTTCCTGAATCTGCTGGAAGCATAAAGAAATTTAAGTTTTTTTGGGGCAAAGAGGAAAGGGAGCAGAAGATGAGAGATCTGCCAGTGAGACAGGACACAGACTGGGACCTCTGAGCTTCCACTGTCTGCTGGGGTAAAACATTTGACTTGGTTTTTACATCATCTGAGAGGAGCATCAAGGCCTTAAAACCAGAGGGACAGCAAGAAGCAGCGAGAGCTTTACAATAACCCTTTAGGGCTGCTTACAAAAACAGGCATCTGCAAACTCTGAGCACAAATTCTAGATGTGAAAACCCTAAAAGCTTGGTCTGTTGGCCAGTAAAAAGTAAAATACTAAGGACGATTGATGCCTTCGGTGTCACAGTCAAAGAGCAAATTACTCCTTTTGCTGTGTGGCCAGACCCATAAACCCCCATCTGCTCCTAAACCCAGTTCAATCCCATTTACTCACTCTCCTGGAACTGGGCCTCATCATCCTCTTGCTCTTCCTCCTCACTCCCCACGTCATCCATGAGCATCTCCCGCTGTTTGGAAGCCGCTTTGGACGCCGCCTGTCGCTGCTGACGGACGTTTTTGTGATCCTCCTTCTCATCCTCGCTGTCCTCTGCAGCAAAAGCCACCAGGTTATGATGGATACACAACACACACAACCCTGTCCTGAGGCAGCAAGTCATTCATAAGAGAGTAAATCAAGACACTCACTGATAACTGGTAACATCTGACATATTAAACACCTTCCTGCAGTCACCCAACTACACCAGTAACCTCTTTTTTTTTATTTTTCTTTTTTTTTTTACCTGCAGGCCTTTTCCTGGATTTGGAGGCTGCTCTCTTGTTCTTGTCTGGCTTAGCCTTTTTTCCTTTTTTGCTTTTTTGAGAGCTCTCATAGTCACTGTCAGCTTTGCCATCGTCTGCTCCTATATCATCATCTTCACTGCCAAAATCCTCATCTGGAAGGAAAAGGGACCAAGATGAAGTTTCTTGAATCATTCTGAGATAGGGATGAAAACTACAGGGAAGAGATTAACAAGTCCATCCACCTGTGAAGACAAACTTTATAGTACCACCACATTACACCAAAAAAAACCACCCCAACCCACATTATCCCAAACCAGGGTGGGAAGTAACAGCAGGAGAGGCAGAATCCAACTTAAGGTGAGTGGATTGGAGAAGTGCTGCTCTTCTAGTCAGAACTCTGTCAAATCCTACTCCTGCAACTCTCACAAACTGGTTTTGAGGAGACACTGCTTGTTTTGAAGATGTATCAGGTACAATGGAGTTACCTGCTGAGTGTGAATCATCTTTCTTAGTCTTCACATCTTTGTCTTCTGAATCCTCACTGAAAATGAGAGAAATACAAAGTTTGCCTGCTGTTCTAACTTTGATTTCAGTCACTGTTGTGTGGAAAATAACGGTTTTTGAAGAGCAAACTGGTGTCTAGGCTGGGAATATGCACTTTTCCTGGACATTACCACCTTATACTTCAGGATTCCTCTGGTGTATGTGCAGTTATCACAGCTAGAAAGGTAATGTTCAAACCCAATCACATAATAAACTTATATGGTGCCAAGTGAACCAACCAGGCAATAATCAGGGTGAGGTGAAAAAACTCCACTCTGAAAGCTACCAAGATGGCTTCCATTTTATTTAGAATTTTGATGGTTTATATGCTGAATCTATAAAGGGAATAAAGGTTGATTCTGAATAGATTTATAGTCATTGTTTAGATCCCACTCTGTGCATGTTGCTGTACAGCTCTGAACTGGCACAGGTTTGGTCCAAATGATCTGATCTCTGATGGAGAGTAAAAGACACCTTGGGGTTACAGGACAAGAAGCAGCTGGCAGAACCTCCACCCCTGAAGCTCTGATGTCTACCATGAAAACAGATAAATGATTTAACAGGTCTTAGGGCAAGTATTTGGAGGCCACAGTTGGTGTGAAATGGAAGATACCTTGCTGAGGGAAAGTTTGCTGTAGAGCAAAGGTATCTCTGAGCACTGAGTCCTTCCACAGTGCTGGAGCAACTTGCTTATCAGGACAGGTTTATGAATTAAACAAAATGAGGAAAAAAAGAACCACAAAACTAACAAATGGCCCCTGCCCCACCCCACTTCACCTGTAAGGCCAGGAATGCCCTGAGCACTCTGCAAACGTGGAAAATGAACTGCATCTCCCCACCAGCTTACCTGCAGAATCGTCCCAGCTGCCAACCTTTGTAACTCGGATCATATTCCTCCCCATTCCAACTGCCTGGCTCTGGAAAGCTATTTTAGTGATGAAGCACCAGTGACAAGTGCTTCACACATGATTTCTCTGTCTACTCAGATAAGGAAGAACCAGCTCACTGTCTAAGCTGGTTATGCAAGTTCTGAGCCTGAGAGCTCCCAGTCTCACCCCGTGGACTTGAATTCCACCTTCAGTCACTCCTCGTGCAGGATCCCGCTCCCCACAGGCAGGACAAGGTTTGGAGACACGTTCCCAAGACATGAAGTGGTTCTTTTACCTGTCCTCCTGAGAATTCTTCCCAGATCGCCTCTTATTTTTGGCCTCTCGGGGAGACGAGCGGATTTTCTTGGATGGGGGACCTGAATCTCTTCCATAATCTTCATCTGGACGGGACAGTACAAAAGGGGTTTGAATCAAACTCCTACTTCCCAGCAAACTGCCTTCCTCAGCTCTAACTTAAACTGATCATTTCATGCACAACAAAAAGAAGGCCCTTCGAAAAAAAAAAAAATAAAAACAAACAAACAAAACAAGATCACAAAGCTTCAAAGGAGATTTTTATAGAAGCAAAGTCCTGCCTTAAACTTGTGATTTTACCTTTTGTGGTGCCAACAAGCACAATAAAAATGCTGTGCTAAGAAACATAAAAACCTCACAAGAGGAAACATTATCTCATTTTACACCTAGTCAGTTATTATATAAACCTATTAAAAATTAACTTCCATACATATTTCACCATGCTTTTAACAGCAAACACTATTTACTGTCCTATGATGGGGGAAAGTATGGCATTATATAGGAGTTTACAGCACAACTTTTTACAACTCTTACACAATACCTCATTAACAGAGCTGCAATTAAGAACTAGGCATATTTGTTTCATATTAATTATCAGTGTAATCTGATAAACAAACAGCAGTACTGTGTCTGTCTTCTAAGAACTCAAAACATATTCCATATGGCTCCCAGAAAATTTTCTTCAATTCACACAGAACATAAAGATTATATATTTTTAAGATGCTATTCCTCAAAATGCCTGATATCATGGGCTCAACTAGAGTCCACTAAAATAAATGGAAAACATATTTTCCTACAGAAAAAAAGTGGCATTAGGGAGATTCAGGACATAACATAGACCAAGGAAGGAAGTTATGCCAAGAGCCTCAAGGCACTACAACAATACAAGCATTAAATAATAAGATTTCTATCACCATTGTTTGTTTAATACAAAACATATGAAAATCATTACATTTTCAAATACTTATTAACAGTTTGGGCTGTGAAGAGCAGGATCTCCTCAGAATTTGAGTTAAAGACAAACAATTAATACACAAGGCAATAATGAACTGCTCTACCCCAGAATATGATACTGTTAAGAAAAAAAAAAAGTCATTTACCAGCATCATCTGATTCCTGAAACTGGGAGTAGTCGACCACCTTCCTGTTCCTGGTAAAAAGCAGGGGGGAAAAAAAATCAATTAGGAATTTGTAATAACAGAGATACAAAAGCTTTCTTTAAGAAACAAGGAAATGCCATATCTTCACTTCCAGTGCTGGATTTGTAGCCCAAAAATATCCCAAGGAAACTCTCATAATCAGCCTCTGAAGTCAGAAGTGAACACACAGTATCTTCCAGCATTTTCCTGAAGTGATATTATAATAGTCTGGATTATAATCTCAGAGCCTGAAAAAAGCTTTTTGGTAAGTACACAAATATTACCATTAATAAACCTTTCTCAACTGCTCTGTTTTGTACTTCTGCTTCTCACAGCTCAATACACCCCACAGAAATTCTCCTGGAATGTTTGTTTTCCCACGTGATCCCGGATTCTAAAGCATTTTTAAAGGTTTCACTGGGGCTTCTGGGAGTTTTTTCCAGGAGTTCCACGAGGAAGATGCCAGAGCTGTGACACTGCTCAGCTCTGTCACTGGGCACAACAAGGAACCCAGACACACATTTCACCCAATTTGTGGGGTTTTTTTTGTATTTCTTTACTTCATCAGCACCTCCTCTGCTCTTTGGCCAAAGTGAGAGAGGCACTGAGGGGTCAGGAACAGTGCAAATGCAATGGCCAGTCCTACACAAAATTAGTTATTTACACAAGCAGCTGTTACTGACACTGAAGCCTCACTGGTCAAGAAAATTAGATCTGCTGCTCTAACTTACTGAAAAGCTCAAAAATTAAATGAAGTATATGGAATTGGTGGCTATTTTATCAGCACCTTGTCAATCGAGGCCCAAGTGCTTTATTGACAAGACATAACTGCCCTGAAATGCAGCTGTTAGAGGGAACCAAGACACATAACTGAATTATATTTGAGGTAACTGATAATGTCTCAGCCAAACTCAGACTCCAAACCCTTCCTGTAACCACTCACATGGAAAGGGAGGAGGAGGCACAGCTAGAAAAGGCCCCAGAGGTTTCAACACCCCTCCCTCCACAGTCACTTTTTACAATCCTTTTGGCCCGAAGCCAAGGAGAAATTTGATTTTCCAGGAATCATCCCGTGAGCTCACTTGTACAGCTCCAAGAGCCAGGAAAACACTGCTGAAGTGCCCTACCCAGCACCTCAGGCCTGAGGAGCACTGCAAAGGGAAGGTAAGAGCAGCTCCATCCACACATGGATCCACCCTTCCCCTCTCCTGCTCTGCAGGGCACGACTGGGCAACTTCACATCCAGCTCCCAGGGTGAGCTGCACCTTGGCATTAACAGCAGGCACTGCTGATAAAACTGTTTAGCTGAAAGACACCCAAAATCATCACTGTTCTGGCTGCTGATCCCTTTCCAATCAATCTGGAGTTGCCCTCCTGTACAGGTACCTCTAACTCATGGCTTACAGCACCAGCCTTCCAAAGGGGAAAGAGCAAAATTCCATTTCAGCCCCACACTGAGACTCTTAAAACAATTTATACAGCAAAAAATGAAACCAATCTCTCAAAAGAAAAAAAAAAACCAAAACAAACTCAAACAACAACAAAAAAATCAAATAGGTAAATAAAAGGCAGGCAGGAGCAGTGGTTGGATTTCTCCAGGCTGAATCCCATCCAAGCCTCAGAGCACGTGTGAGTGGGACAAAGTACAAGAGCACCGTGGGGCAGAGCACTGCTCACTCACTCCCAGCCTGAGCATGGTAAAATACCAATTTAGGAACACAAAGATTGGTAAGGCTTGTTATGGCTCATCATCCAGGGATTTACATTCCTATTCCAACAGGTATATTGCTTCCTGACCCACCTCACCTGGGAAAACACTGATTTTTATCCTAGTGAGCAGTTACGCCAAACCAAACATCTTATTTAGTAAGTACCAAGCACTACAGGGTCTTTTTTCCCCTCCAAAGGTATAAATGGAAAAAAAAAAAAAAAAAAAAAAGGCAAAATTTCCACATATTCTGTTCCAGTAGTTTTGTAAAACACCAGTTTTGGACACCTCTAATCTAACAAACAAGATGGAAATTGTAATCCTGCCACCTTGGAAGTTGGTCATGCTCAGTTCCATCTCAGTTCCTTCAGTCAGACACACATTAAATCAGGTACTGAAAATGCAACAGTGCCAGCTAAAACATTAACAAGAACACTGTCCCCATGGAAAACATCCTTTCTCCAAGCACTGCCCCTTGTGTTTGCAGCTGGGAAGTAAATCCTGCTCAGCTTTCCCTACCTGGTGAACAGCTGTGGTATTTGTATTAAAAAAACCATAAATCACTATTTCAGAAGCAAACAGAACAGAAGGCTCTTTCCTTGTGCCATCTTATTTTGCAGGGCAAGGAGAGGGGGGATAAAGAAGGAATATCTGCACTGATAAAAATCTGCTGGGTCCCAACAGAACCAGAGAAGCTCAGAGGCACAGAGACACCAACCAACCTGCTCCTGCCCTTCTCCTCCCTTTATCCTCATCCTTCAGCTCATTTGGATCAACTGATGGTTTTATTTAGAACTGTCAACAGCACCGATAATTAATTATGAGTTTGCAACGTTTCTTACACCGAGGAGATAAAAACACACTGTGTAAGTTCACTGCAAGAGCCAGAAAAAGGGATTGCTGGTGCTGTCAATGAAGAGGCTCTTTGCCACGAGCAAAATCTAGAAGATGTGAAGGCAAGCAACCAGACATAAAAATAAACTCTTTGTTAAATCCAGTTAGACTGAGCATAAAAAGACAGGCTAGTGGACAGCTGGGATGGGTATTGTTCAATCTGGCTTCAAATATGCACTGAAATTTAAAGATAACTTCCCTGCTAATTCAGCTTAACATTTAAAGTGTCTGTGTGTGAAGGAACTGGGGGACAAAAGGTACAGAGAGAGGTCTAAGAGCATAAGTTTTAATAACACTCAGTCCAGTATTTTTGGAATAAACAGCAACTCATCTAGCAAGTCATCAACATGTTGGGATGGAAGCACTTAGCAAAGTAATAAGTAATTTAAATACAACTCAGAAATGCAGAGTAATTCCTGCAACCTCTACTTGATGGTGACCAAACAGCTATTTTGAAATTATGAGAAGTAATGTCAACATGTAAAAGGATCACTAAATGCCTCTAAAACTGAGCAGGGATTGTGTAGTAGTATTTTATCTTCAGCTGGTGAGGCCCCTAAAGCCTCAGTCTTTGGAAGTCAACACATCAGAACAGACACTACAATCAGGGAGAAATATTCTGGGTTTTTTTAAAGGGAATGCTTAGATCCCCAGGTATTTCTGCAGGCATTAAAACCCACAGATGAAGTCCAAGTTTTAAAAAAAAAAACCCCACAACACATACTCCTGAAAAGCAGTGCTAAAAGGAGCCTTCAAAAATCAAGTCACTGCTTTGAGTCTCGTCCTGCACTGAAGAGGAATGTTCAGGTCAAATGACAACCAGCAGAAGCAACAACCTACCCTCTAATACAACACAGCAAGGGAAGTGAATGAGATTCAATGGTTACTGTACATCATTTATCCACAGTATTTAACCAATACAACCATCAAACCAAGCATTTGTGAACAAAGCTACAGCCCCTCCCTCACCCTCAGGGCTGGGGCAGCTCTGGCTCAGTGGGGCTTCACCTTCTGGTTCTCATTCTCAAAGGTGTCTGTCCCCTTTCAGGCCAACATTGTCAATAAATACTGCCATGAAAAGCACCTTTTTTTACGCACAGAAAACGAAAATACCTGCAAGAAACACTTCTGGCTGTCATTTTTTAAAGCAGTGCTGGATTTGGGCCTTCCATGACCGTGGACTTACAATCCCCAACAGAAGTTGGCACGTGGTGACAGTGATGGACCCAAAATGTGTCACTGTGGGGTCAGTCTGTGGAAAAATGGGCACAGCCATGCCCAGACAGGGCTCACCCACGAGAGGTGCCCAATTACAGAGCTCAGGGTTTGGGGCTGGGCCTGGTGTAACTCCCCATGTCTGCAAGAGCAGGCACTGCTCATGGTACCCACAGAATTTTTAGGGATACACACGACTTGGAACTCCATCAAGCAGTTAAATGATTCCTGCAGCAACAGTTCAAGCAGCCTTGTGCCCGTGCTCCAGTGGAATCCAACTATAATTGAGAAGCTTTTAATACAGAAGTGTTCTGGTGCAGAGCAGGGGAGGGGGAACCAAACCCAAACCCCCACCCAAATCACTTCTGCAACCTGTGTTGTCCCCAGGATTTTGATCTTTTTTGTACCTCTACCTTCCCTCTGTTTCTCTTTAGGCTGAGAGAGAGCAAAGATCAGCTTTTCACTCATCTGCAAAGTGTCCACACCCATCTCTGGACCACCACACAGCATCACTCAGGTTTTATTAACTGCCAAACCCCAAGGAACTGTTGCTTTCCTGCCTCCTGTGGAAGTTTGTCCAGAATCAAAACATTTACGCTTTAAATTGCCCAAGTACAGCACTGGCAACAAGTTATATTTAATAGATAAATATATTTCTTCCTGCTGGTAAAATTTTACCCTTCCACTGCAGTGCCAACAGGAGACTGGGATTCGAATCCAGGAAAATTAAGGATGTAAAGCCTTGAAGCACTGAGATCAATTCCTGACTGGCTTTAATCTTAAAATGAACCACCAAAAAACCCCTGGGATTTCCATACCTGCCCACAGCATCTCAGTTTGCAATGACTCCAGGAAAGGACCAGCAAGTGGCAGTGACCAGTGAGGAAAAGCAGAAGCAAACTCCATTAAAAGTCAAAATTCTGACTTAAAACACATTAATTGATTGATGATGTATATAAAAAAAGTGGTTTGAAGTATTTAATTTATTATATCCCTATAATATTTTATATTATAGGATATAATGTCACCACCAGCCCCAGCTGCTCTTTTCCAGTTCTCAGGTGAGGTACCCACAAGATGCAGAGGTTCAGTAATTTCATGTTCTTTTACTTTTTACTTCTTGTCTTTTTATAACAATAGTGCAAATACCATCATTATCCATCCAGGTGAAATTTAATTGTGTAGAAAGTACTTGGCACAGGAAGCCTGTAAATACCAGCACTTTATTACTACTCCTTAACAATTTTAAGGAACTGACTTCAACAACCAGACTCAGTTTTAAGGCAGCATTCCATGACAAGGGCAGTAAAAACTGGGGATATATGGTGGATTTTATTAACTTCACTGTTTTAGGTGCATATATTCACTAGAAACCAGCAGACATCATAAATTAGTTCAAAGAACACTGACCAGAGGAAAACTTTTCCAACACTAAATCTCACTCTGATGAAGAGCCTTTCACCAGGCTGCCATATCACCAACCACAAGCTGAGACAGCCAGAAAAAATCCATTTCAGAATTAATTTATTAATGGATTTATATCTATGAGCAGAGCTCTTCCAGTTAATATTTACTAGAGCAATAAAAATAATGTAGCAGCCCCTGTGTATTTACCTTTTTCCCCCTGGAAGGGCTGTTAAATACAGGCAGACAGAGGACTGTTACATCCCTCCTGACACGTGCCAACAGGTTTTGTGCTCCCAACAACCTGCTGGACTTTGGTGCTTTATTTCCCTGGAGACCTGGGCCTGTCAGCTGAGGGTGAGACAAGTCAAACCTTTCACAACGCTGCAGGCCTGGATGGGGGAGCTTTATTTCAATTACCTTTTAGGAATTGTTGCAAAGTTATTTTCACATCAGCAAGCTCAGAAGCTCTGCTTTTAGAGACACAGCCCTTCCCTGACCTGTTAGCAAGAGAACCACCAGCATTTCAAGTGTCCCCCTCAAGCAGCAGAGTGACACCACCACTGGTCTGGGCACACGGGCACTGCCACTCAGGATGAGACCACTGGTCCATCCAGCACAACATCCTGCCCTGCAAAAGGCCAAAACCTGATGTTTCAGAGCAGGGTACACACAGTGCCATTAATGCACCTTTTGGATCCCAGACAACTCCCCAAGGGAGCTTCATTTGCCCTCCCCTCTCCATGCAGGAAGACACTGTTGGTCAAAAAAACGAGCTATGAAACAATTGTACCACCAATCACCTCCCTACTTAGCAAAGAAACCCTGGTTTCCACCTACTTTTTAAATTCTCACATTTTAGAGATGTCACTTAAACATCAAGTATATCATCCATAAATACATATATGCATCATAGCCACAATTAATTATTATTTAGAATATCCAAAATATCCACACATCCACACTCCAGACCAGGCTTACTGGGAATGAAAACACAACCAGTTACTGAAGTACCCTGAGAAAGAAAAAATTTCAGAGCATCAGGAGAGCACCTTGAGAAACCTCTTTCCTTTTCTATAAAAACATCTTAAATCGCAAATTCACTCTCTAAAATCACAAGTCCACTCTCTTTGCAGAGAAGAGTAAAAAGGAAGACACTCCCACCCCCCTCCCGTAAACTTTCAGCGACAAGGCAAGTTCACAGAATCACAGAATTCACACAGAATGTGCCAAGCTGGAAGGGACCCACAAGGACCATCCAGTCCAACCCCTGACCCTGCACAGACACCCCAAAATCCCTCCCTGTCCCTCAGAGCGTTGTCCAAACCCTCCTGGAGCTCTGGCAGCCTTGGGGCCGTGCCCACTGCCCTGGGGAGCCTGGTCAGTGCCCCACCACCCTCTGGGGGAAGAACCTTTCCCTGAGGTCCACTCAAACCCTCCTGGACACAGCTCCAGCCGTTCCACGGGCACCAATTCCCCCGCGCTGCAGATCCCCAAACCCACCACGACGCAGCACCAGCTCAGCCCAGCCCCGGCAGCCCCTCGAGGCCCAGCACCGCTCAACTACAGACACGAACACCACACCTACCTCTGCGAACACACAGCTCGCCAACAGCACCGCTAAAAAAGCTTTTTCTCTCCTCCACGACCCAGCCCCTCTCTGGGATAGGTGCTGGGAGGGGGACACACACACACCAGCAGGAAAACGACCCCGGAGCGCTGCTGGCGGGCGGGCGGGAGGAGCAGGGCGTGTGTCCTCCTCCTCCTCCTCTTCCTCCTCCTCCCGGCGGCTCCTCCCCTCAGCGTGGTTCCCCAGCACAGCCTCCGTGGCCCGGACCCCCCTCGGGGCGGCCCCGCGCCCCCTCCCCGGGCGGCGGGGCAGGGGCAGCGGCCGCGGATGGCGAGCGAGCGCCGCCCGGCCCGCGCCAAGTGGGTCACGGCGAGAATTCCCTCTCCCCCCCCCCGTTACAAAATGTGGGACAAGCGCACGCAGGGGCCGAACGCCCCCCGCACACCCACCCGCCCCCGGCCCCGCATGAGGCGCACGGTGCGGAACGTCGTGTTTATTGCGGTAAATACGCGCGGCTGCCGGGGGGGAAACAAGGGGAAATAGAGGAGAAAATGGGCACGGCCCTCCCCGAAGCGCGGCCTGCGCGGGGCCGCGGCCGGGGCGAGCAGCGCGGGAGCGGCGGCTCCGCGACTCACCTGACGGGCCGGGACATCTTCCCGGCGGGTTCGTGCCGCCCCCGGGGGTGGGCGCGGAGGGAACGGGGGACGCTGAAGCCGCCGAGGCCGCCGGGGCCGCCCGGAGCGAGCGGGAGCGCTGGGCCCAGCGCCTCAGGCCGCGCTGCCGGAGCCGCCGCTGCCGCCGCCGCTGCTCCCCCCTCCAGGCGCCGCCGCCGCCCCCGCTGCCGCTTCCCGCTGCCGCTCCCTGCCGGCGCTCCCGGGTGCCGGTGTCGCTGCCCCGCTCCCGGCCCGCGGTCCCGGTGTCCGCCCCGGTCCCGCTCCCGCCGATCCCCCCCGCAAAATGGTCGCGCTCGCCCCGCCGAGAGGATGCGAGCGAGGGGAGGGCGGCCCCGCCCCCCGCGTCGGGCCCCGCCCCCGCCGCGCGCCGATTGGCCGCGCTGGCCGCCGGCCCTGCCGCCATTGGCCCGTTCGAACCATCACGGCCGCGCAGGGCCCCGCCCACTGCCCCCGCGGGGAGGGCGGCGCGCGCGGCCCCGCACGCGGCGGAGCCGCAGCGGCAGATTCGCCACGGGGCCCCCGCGGCCCCGTCCCGCGCACCCCGCACATCCCGCACATCCCGCACGTCCCGCACCGCCCCGCGGGCCCCGACACCGCCCGGCCACCGCTGCGGTTTTTTTCCTTTTCCTCCGGCGATTTTTTCGGGGCGCGGCGGGGGCCTCGGGGCGCGTCCCGCAGATTCGCCGCGCGGGCCCGGCGCGGTTTTGGAGGGAAAAACGCGGCCCCGGGAGCGGGTTCAGCGCCGTTAATTTTTATTAGCAAAAAACGCAGGAAATCGCTCTCAGCCGTCGATTTTGTCGTCGGCACTGATGGCACCACCACCACTGTCCCTGTGCTAGTCAGCAGTTAAGGACATGCACAATTTATGCAAAGTCCACTGAAGATACTTGGGGTTTTTTACGCTTCGAATTCCCTAGAAACGCCAAAATTACTCATTCTGTTTAGAAAAGGAGCTGCTTTAACCATGGAAAAATTACATGTATTCCACAGTCATTAAAATGGCAGCTTCTACAATAACAACTCACTTTTGCTTTGCACTTGGATCTTTAGAGACTCATCCTTCCATTTTATTTAAAAAAGCACTTAAAAACGTGTTTTTATATGTTGGGTTCTCTGAAAATACTGGTTTGACAATACAAATATGCTTTACAGCAGTAATTATAATTAAAGGATAATTTGAGTTCATTTAATGCCCTGCTTGAGCTTCATTTGTCTCCTTTGGAATTATTGCCATTTTTCTGCCCAATCCAGCTGTGCCCTGTCCTTTGTGCCAGTCAATCCCCATGAAAATCGAGCTGATCAGGGAAAAAAAAGAGTCCCTTGGAGCAACTGCCTGCACATCCAGCCCCAAAATACACTGAATTAACAAGCCCTGAGGGGGAAGGTGCAGTAACCACATCAAGGAATTCTTCGCTCCCTGCTCCGAGCTGGATATATTGGATTAAAAGCCACTCTGGCTGACTCGCAGATGCAAAAGTTTTGCATGTTTATAGCTCAATAAAACTCCGGTAATTGGGGGTGTTTGGGTGGAAAGGCTCCGGGTTCCCTGGGCTGTGTTTTGTCCATCCCCTGTCGTGCCTATCCCGATTTATTTTAGGCAGCCAGGTTAGGGCAGGCTGATCCCAGCCCCGGGGGATTCCAGCCCCGCAGCCCCTTTGTCATGGAATTCTTCCCAGACTTCAGAGGATCCACCCTGGGAATACACAGCAGGCATCATCCCCCGTGAGAGCCCTGCCAGGAGCAAACACCCCTCCAGGGGGAACAGTGACAGCCAGCCCTGGCACCGCGGAATTCCACTGGAATTCCATTGGATTTACCACATTATTCCCTCTTACTCCTTCACCTTGGGTCAAACAGCACCTCCTGTGCTCCGGAGCGACCCCCAAACTGGGGGAGATCACGTCACTGGATTAAATTTGTAATAATCTACACACTTTACCACACTTGGGTTGTTTTATCACACTGATCAGGGTTCAGTGGGATTCAATTTTACTACCAAAAAAACGCAGAAAATTAATATCTGTAGATTTTATCATCAGCCCTGATTTCATCCCCAACACTGCTCAGCACACAGACACACCAAATTCATGCAAAGCCCACTGAAGATGTTTGATTTTTAGGCCATAAATTCAGAAACTCCCCCCAAATGACTCATTTTGTTTAGAAAAGGAGCTGCTTTAACCATGGAAAAATTAAATGTCATTAAAATGGCAGCTTCTTCTACAATAACAACTCACTTTCGCTGGACCTTTAAAGAGACTCATCCTTCCATTTTGTTAAAAAGAGCACTTAAAAAGGTATTTTTATATGTTGGGTTCTCTGAAAATACTGGTTTGGCAATACAAACATGGTCAGCTTTACAGCAGTAATTATAATTAAAGGATAATTTGAGTTCATTTAATGCCCTGCTTGAGCTTTATTTGTCTCCTTTGGAATTATTGCCATTTTTCTGCCCAATCCCGCTGTGCCCTGTTCTTTGTGCCAGTTCCATCCCCCTGAACATCGAGCTGCTAGGAAAAAAAAGAGCCCTTGGAGCAACTGCCTGCCCATCCAGCCCCAAAATACACTGACCTAACAAGCCCTGCGGGGGAAGGTGCAGTAACCACCTCAAGGAATTCTTTGCTCTCTGCTCTGAGCTGGATATATTGGATTAAAAGCCACTCTGGCTGAGTCACAGATGCACAAGTTTTGCATGTTTATGTCCTGCCTGTAGCTCAATAAAACTCCAATAATTGAGGGTGTTTCAGTGGAAAGGATCTCATTTGTTTTGCTGCAGTTCACAGTGTGTGTTTTATACATTCCTGTTATTGTTATTTTTAGTTTCAACTTGTGAACCCTTTTCTTAGGACTGTTGAGACAGGAAAACAACAACCACTAACCAAGTCATGTCGATTTTTTTATTTCAAACTATTGCAATACTGCATTAGTTACTGATTGATGTGGATTAAACCTCCCAGCAGTTTTTCCTCTTTTACATAAACATGATAATACTGAAGTTTTACAGTAATCAGAACCCTGTCTCTAAAATATTTCTGTGTAACAGCAAGCAATTAAAAAAGAGAAAAGGCTAAGTTTTGAGATTGTTGACTTATTTTAGGGCCTATAATCTGCTTTTGAATCCTATTGCAGTGAAAACCTGGTGTGGACCCACAGAGTGCAGCCACCAGTACAGAAAATACACGTGGTTTTTGAGTCCCAGGACCACAAATTAAAGTCACAGGAAGGAGGAACAAGGTGTGGATGAGAGGGAAAAAGGCACAGTTGGCCCCGAGTCACACAAGAGGGTACAAAGTCAAAGCAGGGAGAACAAAACACCTTCATTTCCCAACCTGAGGGAAGGCACGAGCGAGGCAGAACAAAAGACAAGACTTTTCTGATTCATACCTGAAAGATTCAGGCTTTTTAACCACCTGCATGAACAAGACTTAACTTCGTTTAAAACGGTTTTCTTGTTGGTTTTTTTTTTTTTTTCTTCCCTTTCAGTTGTTTTAAAAACAAGAATTAATTCCAGCTGGCACAGCCCGTGCCCACGTCCCTTCCACGCTGCCCAGCCCAGAAAGAGCATCTTTGACGGGGCTTTTTGAACCTGTTTTTACAAAACTAAATCAAGGGGGTTGCTGATTTTTGTTTTTGCCTGGTTTTTTTTAAGCCCCTTGTGCCCCAGAGAGATCTCTGAAAACACACACATCTGCACAGGGAAATCGTTTTCCTGTCTGCTTGGGGTTTCACATGAGCAACGGCTGTTTCTGGTGTGCAGCTTGGGGGGTTTCTTTTAAACATTTGTCTCCCGTGTCAGATGTTAACCAACAGTAAGTGTGCAAAATAAACACCCCCTCCAAAGGCTCACACCGGGACTGGAAACCACTGGGCAAACAGAAATGATGTAGAAGAGGAAAAAAACCCCAACACACCTTCCTTTGGCTTTTTTTGCTCGATTCTTAAAGGCACTTCTGAAAGAAAAGGTGCAGGTTGAGAGGTGCAGGCACCAAAGAGGCACTGGTAGGTATTAAAGTGATATGTAAAAGGTGTAAAGAGGTTTTTCTGGCCAGGAATTCCCTGTGAGGGTGGCACAGGGTGCCCAGAGAAGCTGTGGCTGCCCCAGCCCTGGAAGTGTCCAAGGCCACCTTGGATAAACCTGGAGCAACCTGGGCTGGTGGAAGGTGTCCCTGCCCGTGGGATGAGCTGAGCTGAGCTTTAAGGTCCCTTCCAACCCAAACCATTCTGGGATTCTATACCTGGACAGAACAGGAACTGGGAATTTCCAGTGCCAAGCTGGGCTGAGCAGTGGGTGGGTCCTGGGCAGGGGTTTCTCCACCTTTCAGGCTCTAAGACTTGGTCTCTTTGCCAAAACACTTTAAGGTGCACGTACAAAAAAATCAATAAATAACACCTGAATCTTAACAGTTTTGTGACAGATCCTTTAAAAACTCAGGCACGTCTCCTCATGTTCCACAAAGAACTAGAAATATTTATAGGATTAAAACCCATTTTCTTTCCTATTTTTTTTTTTTTAACACAGCAAAGTAAAATTCAGCAAGGCACTTCAATTTTCTTGCTAGCCAGTTCTCCATGTTTCTACAGTGAAAACAGCAGCACAGAAAAGGGGGGATTTAAGCACTCCTAGCCCCAAATTTGGCAATATTTGCATGACAGAATCCTAGCTCAGGTATTTCAGCTTTTAATTAAAACAGTGGAGCACTGGTTTTAAATTTCTTAACCCTCGCTGTTCACTTATCAATTATTTTCAGCTTCAGAGAAGGAAAACTCAGATTTTTTTTTATGCTCAGTGAAGGCAATTGGTTCCTGTTCTACCACCTTCTCCCTCCATAGATTACACAGAGTAAGAAAAGACAGGCAGGAGGAATAATTTGCCAAAGAAAACCAGTCCTAATTCACCAGGAATCAGGACAGAGCAATTTATAGCCCTGTTTTCAAGGGAAAAACGTCATTGAAGGCCATTTGCTGAAATCCAAACCTAAAACATGGGCAAGACAATTCTGTAGCATCACAGGGTCATGGAATATCAAAACCATCTCAAACCCACACAGCATTTTAACTCCAGCCCTGCAGGCTGAGTCTCCTCCTCGCTCTCCTGACACCTCTGCTGTGCTTGTACCAATTTTTGGGCCCCAGTTTTTTCCCCACAACCAGTACCTGGGGTACGTGGGGAGGGGAAGGAGGCACCAAAGAGAAGTAGGGAAGGGGTTTCTTCATTTCCTTTTTGTCCCACCAAGTTTTCTCCTCCTCTTCCCCCCTCCTCTAAAAGCAGTGGGGGATTTGCAGGGAGCTGTTTCCTGCACCAGCCCTGCCACCAAATCCCCTCCTGGCTGCAGGATAATGGTGGGAAGGCAATTCATCAGCAGTTGCAAGGCTGTTTGGGGTGGTTTGGGGATACAGGGAGTGCTAAAAGTGCAAAAGGACTCTTGTTCTGGCACACAAAGGGATTTACAGCCCATCCCTCCTCCAGCTCCCCGTGCCCCAATAAAGGGGCAGCACAGCAGGATAATGGGATTGTGCCAGAGGGGGAGAGAGGAGGGAGGACAGGAGGCAGCTGGGCAGTTCCTGACTGGAATTTGGGGTCTCTGCTGTTGAACAGCACAGTCAGAAGGCAGGACACTGAGGGGCTGTGCTGCACCACCTCCCAAATTCCCCCTGGTACCTTCACAGCTCCACGGGCACCACGTTGATCCACATCCCCCTTCACACCTTCGGGATGACGATGGGATGTGCTGGGTCTCTCCAGGGGAGACTCTGTAATTCCAGGGCACGGAGGAAGGAGCTGGAATCCCACGCTGGGAATCCACAGGGAAGACCTCCTGGACTCTGTGTGTGGGCCAAGGGCACTGCAGGGCCTTGGGCTGGTGCCTCTGGGTGTGGGGGTGCAGGTGGTGGGGGATAAAGGTGCAACAGTATTCAAAATACACCTTCAGCAGCCCAGGATGGGCCAGCACCTGGCAGAAGGTGAAGTGCTTGAAAATTTAAAAAAACAAATGTAATCCAAGCCCTGAGCTTGGACATGGACTGTGCTACATCAGAGCAGAAGAGCTCCAGCTATACTGGGAAAAAAGAGGAAATGTTCCCACTCCTCTCCTTTCCACTCCTCACTCGAGTCACTGCAGCAATGCTCTGCTGAGGAAGAATATTCACTACACAGGAAACAGCCCATGAGCTTGTAAAAAAACCACCCCAAAACCAGCGAGAGCCAGTTCAGGGAGAAATGATGATGATGATAAAAGGACCATCACTGCTAGACCCCAGGAGATGGTGTGTCAGGGGCTCTAACAGCACGCCCAGCCTGGTGGGGAGGTCTCTTTTAAATTAATATAATCCCCACTCCCAGCAGTGGAGGAACTTCCATCACCCGTGGATGAGGACATCATCTTTTCAATCAGCACTCTGCAAGAGAAACATTCTTGTTGAAGAAAAAGAGAAATTTAATCTAATGTAAATATATTATTTCATCATAGAAGAGATAGTTAAGTTGTTACCTATATATATATATATATGTTACCTATATATATGTATATAAATAAACCTTGTAAGTATTTTCCTCTTCCCCCAATGCTGAGTAACTGTGTTTTGTCTGAAAACCCTCTCACACTAAAGCAAACTGTGGGAGGAGGGCTTGAACTTGGAAATTGGATTTTTGAGGGGTCTCAAACCACCACAGGGAGTTTGGTTTGTGGGTTTGTTTGGTTTTTTTTAACCAGCAGCACTGGGGGGCACAAAGCTTTTCAGCAGTGCAGAAAAGAAACAGCAGTTCAGGTCAGAAGGACACAAAACTCCAGCAAAATGATTTAAAAATCAGGTTAAGGGACTTCATAGCACTGAGAAGATTCCTCAGATTACCTGGCAGCATCAGGAGGCTCTGCAGTGACTGGATAACTCACAACACCTACTGCAACCACCTCACCTCAGGTCCTGTTAAGGACTGGGACACATCAACAGATCCCCTGGGTACCACCTGCCCAAGCTCAGCATGAGCTGTGAACACCCAGACTAGGTTTAGATTAGACACAAGGAAAAAATTCTTCATGGAAAGGGTTGTAAAGCCCTGGAAGGGGCTGCTCAGGGCAGTGGTGGAGCCACCATCCCTGGAAGTGCTCCAAAAATGTGTGGGTGTGGCACCTGGGGACATGGTTTAGTGGTGAACATGATGGTGGTGATGTTTTGGATTTCCAACCTTAATGATTCCATGATTCCCATGCCCTTCAGAAAAGGCCAAATTCTGCACTAAAGGACTGGTGCATCACCAGAGAAATTCTGATCTCTTTGCACAAGAACTCCCATCCTCCTGGAAGAGGCCAGCACGTGAAAAAAACACCCCTGGTGCTGTTCAAAGGATTTCTGTCTCCACAACCATGTCAGAGCTGATCCGAGGAGGGATGAACTTGTGACCTCTCAGAATTCAGTTTCCTTTTGGGAGATTTACTGTGTGTTTTTGCTGCTATTTGTTGCTCACTGACAGCACCTCCCTCACTGTGTTGGAAAAGATCAGAGGATCAGGGAATCACAAGATGGTTTGAGTTGGAAGAGACATTAAAGCTCATCCAGTTCCACCCTCTGGCCATGGGCAGGGACACCTTAAACTAGCCCAGGTTGCTCCAAGTTTATCCAACCTGGCCTTGGACACTTCCAGGAATGGGGAGACCACAACCTCTCTGTGCAGGGAATTAACTCTTGGATGCATCACCAGGCACTGTTCCTACCTCATGGACTCATTGATATTCTTGTTTTCCTTGACAGAAGTCTCCACCCATCCCGAAAAGCCATTTTCCTTGCTGAACCGATCCACTTCTTCTCTTGTCACTGCCCAGGGGGAAAGGTCACACTGGAAAACAGGAATCAGGCATTTCAGAATCACAGAATCATGCAATGGTTTCAGTTGGAAGGGAACTTAAACATCACGTCATTCCTTCCCCCTGCCCTGGGCAGGGACACCTTCCACCAGGTTGCTCCAAGTTTATCCAAGGTGGCCTTGGACACTTCCAGGGATGGGGCAGCCACAGCTTCTCTGGGCAACCTGTGCCAGGGCCTGCCCACCCTCACAGGGATGAATTTCTTCCTAATTTTTAAGCTGGGAGGGCCATTTACTGCCTGTGTGCAGGCAGCTCAGCCCTCCCCAGCTCCCAGCTCCCGGGCTGATAGAGAGCTCTGGGGCAAGGTTCCTAATGGGATGTTGCAAGCAGCAATTTATTTATCTCATCTGAGTTACTGACACACCTCAGTCAGGCACGCATGGAATGGAGCTTCAAACACTGTCCCTCGTCCCAAATCTGCCTCTCAGCAGCCAGGAGAGGAGTTCCAGGTGTGGTGGCACTGCGGCCACGGTGATGACAACAGGACGTGCCAGGAGGCAGAGAGACCCTGACCCACAACAGCTCGTGGGGCAGGCACACAGATTTCCCTAAAACAGGCAAAACTGCCACCTCAGAGCAGAATCCCAGAATCAGTGAGGTTGGAAAAGACCTCCAGGATCACTGAGTCCACCCTGTGCCCCATCCCCACCTTGTCCCCCAGCCCAGAGCACTGAGGGCCACAACCAGTCCTTTCTTGGACACCTCCAGGGGTGGTGGGGACTCCACCACCTCCCTGGGCAGCCCCTTCCAAGGCCTGACCACCCTTTCCATGGAGAAATTCCTCCTGATGTCCAACCTGAGCCTCCCCTGGCACAGTTTGAGGCCATTCCCTCTCCTCCTGTCCCTCGTTCCCTGGGAGCAGAGCCCGACCCCCCCCGGCTCCCCCCTCCTGTCAGGGAGTTGCAGAAGCAATCAAAAACAAGTTATTGAGGGAAGTGTAAATTGTGGAGAAGTGGAAAAAGAAAAGCCCCTCCCCTGCCCACCCATCACGAGTCATCTCCAGTTTTGGGCTCTCCCAAACCAGGCAAGTCTCAAACTGAACCTGGAAAGAGCTGCTGAGCCAGGGCTGGCACACGAAGAACATCAAGGGAGTTTTTAAATGAAGGAAAAATTTATGGAAAGGGTTGTAAAGCCCTGGAAGAGACTGCCCAGGCCAGTCACCATCCCTAGATGTGTTCAAAAAACGAGTGGATGTGACACTCGAGGACATGGTTCAGTGGTGAACATGGTGCTGGATTTGGTGATTTATATTAAAGGTTTTTTCTAACCTTAACAACTCTGCAAGTTAAGGACTGAAAAAGAGAAAGCAAAGCTTTGTAATCCAGGAGCTGCAGAGCTCCAACAGCACAGGACAAGGTGCTGCATCCCAGGGCAGAGAAGTTGGAAACAACTCAGTGCATTCACCAGGGCCCTGCTCATGGAGGAGAATCCTGCCTAGAAAATGGAAACTCCAGGAGACTTATGGAAGGGATTAAAAGACAACAGGCTAGGGGATAACTCTAGGCAGGGGTGAGTGCTAAAGGTGTCCCCTTCCATTCTGCACCCCTGTGCATGCACAGAAACAGGGAGAAACACCCAGGAACACCCACAAATATATCCAAACACACAGAAACACAAACACACACAGAAACACCCAGAAATACACACAAATATATCCAAACACATAGAAACACATAGAAATACACACAAATATATCCAAACACACACAAACACAGAGAAACACACACAAAATACACACAAACACAAACACACAAATACAAACCACACAAACACAAACCACACAAACACAAACCACACAAACACAAACCACACAAACACAAACCACACAAACACAAACCACACAAACACAAACCACACAAACACATAAAAACACACACAAAACCACAGAAACACACACAAAAAGACACCCAAACCCACCCAGAGCTCCTCACCTTGTTGGCCAGCAGCAGGCAAGGCACAGGATTCCCGTCTGGCAGCAGGAGCTTGCTGTCCAAATCCTGCTTCCACTTCTGGCTGTTGCTGAAGGTGCTGATGTTGGTGACATCAAACATGATGACACAGGCTGAGGCCTCCCTGTAGTACAGGCGGGTCATGGATGTGAAACGTTCCTGTCCTTCGGGATCAAAGGGGAAAAAAATCACCCCCCAGGGTTACTATTTTGGGATTTGTTCGTGCAAATAATGTGTTTATTGAGGTCCATCCTTTTCTCAGCTGACACTGGTGGTCCCCACTCAAATAATGAGGAAATACAGGCACTCCAGTTTGATCCAGTGGTGGAGCTGGAGCAAACTGGGCAGCTCTGAATGCCAGCACTCAGATCATAAAGTCATGGGATCCCAGACTGGTTTGGGTTGGCAGGGAAATTAAAGCTCATCTCATCCCACCCTCTGCCCTGGGCAGGGACACCTCCCACTAGCCCAGGTTGCTCCAAGCCCTGTCCAACCTGGCCTTGGACACTTCCAGGGATGGAGCAACCATAATATTTGCATTATTCCTGGTGTAACTTGGAGTCCCCTCAAGCCACCCCTGTGCCCCCACACACCTCTGAGGTGCTGGGGATGCCCAGGGACCGTCAGCTCGGGCATCTCCTTCTCTTGGGGCACAACAAGGGCACGGTGCCAGGCTGGCCCCCCTGCTTTCCACATCTCAAAAGCCTTTTTTTTTTGTGCCAAAACCGAAACCAGTTTCTTGCTGCAATCCTCCCGCTGCCAACTTCTCCTTCCTGTCGCCTTTTTAAGGATTCCAGACACGGGCGGCCGAGCAGCGAAACGGGAGGAAACCACAGCCCTGTTTTTCTCATCTCTCCGGATCCAGAGGTGCCATTTTAGAGACCTTGCTGCCCTGTCCTGGTGCCAGGGAATTTGGGAGCCACGTTTTCCTGCAGCTCTCCGGGGAGCAGGGGCTCCTCACTCCACCTCAGCACATGGAACACTGTCCCCTGGAGTGTGTCCTCCTCCCATCCTGCTGCCCTCACCTCGGGAGCACCCAACAGTCTCCTCTTCCCCTGCCTGCTCCTGAGGGACCCACTGGCCCTGCTCCCACAGCTCATGGAGCAGCCAGATCCCAATCCTGGCAGCCAAAGCAGTCTAAGGTCCATGAAGCTGCTCCATGCAAGGCTCAGGATTCCTGGCTGTCATGCCAGAAATCCAGGTTTTAACACAAGATCTGGAGCTGAGAAGTCACACATCCAGCTACAGATGAGCCTGTTTCCCATTCCCTCTGCTCTGGCTCTGAAGCCAAAAGGAAATGCTCAGCAGGAATTACTGTCTTTGCTGCTGAGCTCCTTGCAAATGGGCTTTTAATTAAATATTTAAATTACTATGGCGGGCTAGAGCCAGCCCTGCAAACCAGAGCAGTCACACCCCTGGAATCCACAGGCTTCTGGGATTTATTTTGGGAGCAGAAGGAAAAGGAAAAAAAAATGAAGAGGAAGAGGAAGGGGGAAAGGAAGAGGAAGGGGAAAAGAAAAAGGAAGGGGGAAAAGGAAGAGGAAAAGGGAAGGGGAAAAGGGCCAAGCCATTGAGAACTTTAAATTCTGCTCCTGTTTCCTGGTCCCTGTGGACTCACCTGCGATGTCCCAGAGCTGCAGCCGCACCGTCTCCGACTCCGACCACTGAACCACCTTCAGGGCAAAATCCACTGGGGAATCCCAAAAAAAAGAAAGGAAGCCTCGTCAGGGGTGCTCTGCACCACAGAGCTCATTCCTCCACAGCCTCTCCCCATCTCCCAGCACAGGCCAAATCGTGGGACCTTCCAGAACCCCGAACCAGTGGGTTTGTAACCAGCCCACCCACAACTCCAGGTTGGATGGGGCTTGGAGCAACCTGGGCTAGTGGAAGGTGTCCCTGCCCAGGGCAGGGGGTGGAAGGAGATGAGCTTTAAGGTCCCTTCCATCATTCCATGATTTGATTTAACCAATGCAGTGAGTCAGAAGGGGAAACCCTGTGTTCCTCAGATTCTGATGGGTCAGGTTTTCTCCACAGGGGAAAACCTGTGTGGTGCTGCTGGCAGCCACCCTCAGCAGGGCTGGGACTTACCAAAACCAGGAACTAAGGAAAAAAAAAAAAAGAAGAAAAAAGTCTGCAGCTCTTCCTGCTGGGAGTGACCGTGGGCACAGCCCAGTGCTCTGCCCACTGGGATGTGGCTCTCCAGTGTTTTCCACTTTTAATCCATCCCCTCCTCGACTCCTGAATAAGACTTAAACAGCTCTGCTTGGCCCCCACTATTTTGGGCCTCTGGGGAGATTTCCTGGGAAAAGCCTTGTCAGCTCCTGCTCCTTCCAGGTTATTCATTTACACTGGTGCTGAACAAAGAACCACAACCCCACTCAGCCCCATTCCCAGACCTGTTGCTGCCCCACCACCTTCCCAAGCACCACCAACACCCCAGTGGTGGTTCCAGGCTGTTAAATTCATGCCAAACCACTAATTAATGCTGCTGGTTTTGCTGGGAAGAGCTGAGCCTGTAACCTCAGACCGTCCAGCTCCTGGGGGTCGTTATTCCCAGGAGGGGGGAGAAGGATGGGGCACCCCGGGGAATGAGCCGGGCAGAGGGACAGGAACCCCCGGGGGGCTCAGGGAAGAGGCTCTGGGAGCTGCTGCGGGAGATGCTCAACAAACCACCGATGGGAGCTTGTTCCTTTCCCAAATTCCCGCTCCCACGGCTGCAGGGGGAGCAGGACGAGCATCCCCCGGGCGAGGGGCGGCGGTCCCGGGGGCTCGGCCGAGGGTGGGGGGTCCCGGGGCGCTCCGGGACGGAGCCGAGAGGGCTCGGGATGCGAACCGGGGACAGACCCGGTGGAGAGGCCGGTGCCGGTGGAGGGCATCAGGACCCCGGGGGGGACCCCGGGGAGAGCACTGGGACCCCGGGGAGAGCACTGGGACCCCGGGGAGAGCCTCGACACCCCAGGAAGGGCACCGGGACTCCCTGGAGAACATCAGGACCACAGGGAATCTCTAAAGACCCCGGGAAGACCCCTGGAGACCCCGAGCCCCCGGGGATGGCACCGGCACCCCCGGGAAGCCCCCGAGCCCCCGGGGAGGAGCCCGGGGATGGCCCCGGGATGCCCGGGCAGCCCCCGGGGAGGGCAGGGTGCCCCCGCTCACCTCCCACGGTGGATTTGTAGTGCCGGTTGAAGCTGTCGTTCGCGTAGCGCTGCACCAGCGATGTTTTGCCCACCGTGGCGTCCCCGACCACCAGCACCTTGAACATGCGATCGCGCTGCCCCATCCCGGCCCCGGCCCCGGCCCCGCCGGTCATGTGAGAGGGTCAGGTGGGGCAGCGGCGGAACCGCGCCGGGGCTGCCGGGACTTGTAGTTCGCTCGGCCGGGACCGGCCCTGCCTGTCCCGGGCACCCCCGGACCCAGCCCTGTGCATCCCCTGCACCCCCGGACCCAGCCCTGTGCATCCCCTGCACCCCTGGACCGAGCTCTGTACACTCCCAGATCCAGCTCTGTGCACCCCCAGATCCAGCTCTGTGCATCCCCGGACCCATCTCTGCATCCCCTGCACCCCCAGATCCAGCTCTGTGCATCCCCAGATCCAGCTCTGTGCATCCCCTGTACCCCCAGATCCAGCTCTGTGCACCCCCAGATCCAGCTCTGTGCATCCCCTGCACCCCCGGATCCAACCCTGGGCATCCCCTGTACCCCCAGCCCCGTGCACCCCCTCCCCAGTCCTGTGCATCCCCTGCACCCCCCGACCCTGCCCTCTGCACCCCCAGCCCTGCTCTGGGCACCCCCTGCACCCCCAGATCCAGCCCCATGCACCCCCAGCCCCATGCACCCCTGTACCCCCAGATCCAGCCCCATGCACCCCCAGATCCTGCCACATGCACCCCAACACCCCCAGCCCCTGCTCTCTGCACCCCCTGCCCCGGGCACCCCTGCACCTCCAGCCCCTTTGCAACCCACAGATCAACAAAAAGACTCCACAACACGCACACACACACATTAATATATTTTATTTCTTCAGAGTCTTCACGCCCCAGTGTTTCTCTCTGCAACTAGAAAAGGCCAACACACCCCTCCCCTCCCCAGGAGACCAGGGTGAGGTTGATATTCAGTGTGTGGGACGTGAACCAGCAGGGGCTGAGTGGCTGCTCCCCCATCTCTGGCACTGCCAGGGCTTTGTTTTGGGATTCTGCACCAGGATCCTTGTTTGGCTGAGCTTGAGGCACAGCCCTGCAGGGAGTCAGTCCCCAGCAGCACATCCCGTAGCTGGGGAGCATGGGGGGGTCCTTCCACAGCCAGCAATTCCTGCAAATCCAGGGGCTCGGGGTGCCCCAAAACCTGCAGAACCTTTTGGACCCACAAACCTTCAT